AACTAAAGATATTTCAAGTAGCAGTTTGTCAGAAATAATCCACATTTATTTAGTAAAAAAGAACCAGCAGATGTAAGAGTAAGAAACAGAGGTTCAAATGTTCTCAGTATAGGTCCTAGTAACACAGTACTTTTTAGACAAAGTATATTTCAAATGGCTCCAATATAAAATCCAAAATAAAAATAAAAGATTTTATTCTACAGCTGAGTTTATTGATTATAAGTCTGATTAATTTATTTGTGTTAATTTTGTTTATTTTTGTGTAGTTCTGTATAATTTTTTAAGTCTAATTAATTGTAAGCTTTAATTATTCAAGGGTTTGTGTTGTTCATTTTATTAGGATTTAACAATAATTAAAATTTGCATTTTCCTGCACCTATTTTAAAAATATATGTAACACCTAATATTATTTTTGCCTATATTGACAAATAAATATTTCTATTTCTAGAACAACTTTAGTTATTCATATTCACAACACCATACATTATTACAGAAACCAATTCCGACACTAATGAACGATCCAGTTGCTCCGACTCAATAATTCGTCCGTTTTATGAACAAAGCAATATTTTATTTATTTTTACAACACCTTATAATGAAATGAACTGACCTATATTGTTTCACTTTTGGTTAAGAGAAAAGGCAAAAAGGGGGATTAGTGGAACTTTGTTGGACCCTCTGACTAAGATTGCCTTTATAAAATATACGTTTTATCCGTTCCCGTTCGTGAAAATTTGATACAGTTTGGCCAAATAAAAGGATATATTCTAGTTAGTGAATGACTTATAGTGGCAAAACAAAAGGACTTTATACATACTTTATTCTGTAAATCAGTTTATGTTTGATAAAATAATAGCGATGGACTTTTTAGTAAAGGGGGATGACCCAACATACGTTAAGTAAATACAAAAACTTGAATTTTTATTTAAATGACAAGTAGTGAATATTTACTGACTGGACTACACGGATGGCGTAGTGGTTTAAGCAGTCGCCACGCCGCTTCCTACTACATCGAGTATTGTGGGTTCAAACCCCACATGGGACGACACTTTGTGTGATCCACAAATTGTTGTTCTGAGTCTGAGTGTTCTTTGTGTCCGTTTCATGTATGTTTGTAAACTCCCCCGCGACACTGGATATATGCCTAATGTGGGAGCTGTCCTTTAAAAAAATATAAAAAATACTCTGTGACATATACAAAATACTTTAAAAGTGAAATGCTTTTGAAAAACTACGACTTATAGTATTTGAATGTCATAACCAATTGAAACTGACGATTGGCTGACGATTGAAATATTATTAAATAAAACTACGTTAAAGGGTTAAAAAAAACATTTTTTTCGAAAAGAATTAAAAGAAAACATTAATTATTTTAATTTGTAGGTATATTTCAGTAACTTTGATATGTCTGATGTGTCTATGTTTTGTTCTACCAACTTATGGAGCCCTCCTATTTAAACTTGGTGAACCGACAGTCGCTCAGGGACGCTATATATAAATACATAAGGTGTTATTTTATTGAAAATAAAGATATTTTTATTGTATTGTATGCTCATGGCTAAGTGGTAACCGGGTAGGATAACACATTACAAAGTTAAGCAATCCTAGCCAGGTCAATCTATGGATGGGTGGCCATTCTTAATATTTTGAGACCCCTAGGTGCCTCAGGTAGCACGTTAAACCATCGGCCCCGGTTGCCCTACAAACATCTTTGGCAATCGTTACGGGTAATAGGAGCCATAAAAAGTCCAACAACAGTGTTTCTACAGAACTTCGATATCCCCTAGTACTTGGGTTTGTGTAGGTTTGATGGCAGTCGCTCCGCGTAAAAAAACAATGTTTAGCTGTATCACAGTAGTCTTAAAGCCGACTCCAGCCTAGTTTAGTAAAAAGACTCGGAGGAAAAGTAAGATTGCTAATAGATATAAAATTAAAGTAATAGTTCAAGTAGGACGAGGCTGCAAACCTGTAATTTGAATCTGCTATTACCGTAGAGTATTTTACAATACAGTACAGTACAGTTCGTTTCTACAAGGGATTTTATTTATATCAAACTAAAACTGTTGCAATATAACACAAATCTCGCAAACCAATCCGCTACCAAATTCATAGTCTAAAATCCTTGTGAGATGTATTTTACACTTGGCAAATATCCAGCATTTAGTCTTCTATGTGCCTAAATGATTTTATGTTGCAGACATTTCAACGTTTCGCTTTTGAGGACAATTTCACATTACTTAACACAATGTAATATTTACTCACGACTGTATCGTCGAAAAGGTAGTGCCATTTTGTCAACTATCATTTGGTACACTCACCTTAAAGCTTATAGCCTTAAAAGGGCGCTTTGGGAATAAAAGGTGGAAAGCAAGTTTCAATGACCCCCTTCTCATTTTCAATTTGGTCTGTTTTATTCTAAGTCGATAACGTTAAGATAAATCCTAGGTGGCGATGAAGACAATGTTTCTCCGAATAATTCCTAATCCCTTTATATCAATTATAGGAATTGCATAACTTTACTTTAACGCTTTATACGTATTAGCCTGTGTGTATGGAACAGGATCTTTATATTTATATCTATAAAAAAAGAAACTGACAGACTGATTCACTGACTGAAATTTTACAGAAATGCAAGCACCTAAGCACCCTTAGGGGTGAAATTTTTAAGAATCCTAAAATTAAAAAGAACATTTGTGAAAAAATCTACACCTAAAATGGGGGTTGGGAAATTGTTATGAAACTTTGTCATTTTTGGTTGTAGTGATTTCTTACTCACAGTAAATACTTTTCATTAAAAGCATTAAAAAACTTTGTTACTGATTTTTCAAAACTAACCTTAAAAGGGTGTAATTTTGTGTGGAGAATATACCTATAATCTTGATTCATTGTATCCTCTACGATGCCTGATTTCTACCACCACACGGATGAAGTCGCGGGCAAAAGCTGGTAGACAGATAAATAAGGGTCAACCAAGACCATCGTAGTGTGTGACTGTGTGACTGACTTGACAATTCGCACACATATATTAGAGACATAAGAGATGACAAAATGAGACAAAATCTAGGTTAAAGAAAGGAAAAAAATACGCGTTCCCATTAAAAGTTGTTTCCTTTTGTTATGCGGTTCAATTTAATCTTGTCTTTTAGTGTCCTTTTATCATCGCAAAAATTTAACATATGATTTTATATATGGCAAACCTAGGAATGCGGGCCGTTTATTAAAAAAAGACACCGTGTTGATGCTACTTACTTGTAAAAGTGTTCAATTTACTGAAGTTTTATGCCTTAGTAAGTTAAAACGTATTGTTTTTTTTTTAAGATATTTCATGGAATAATTGTTTGCATTTTCTAACAAAAAATCGTATTGAGCAAGACTAACTTAGTAACTCTTGCGTTATTCAGTCGGGTAAAAAATAATAACTACCACCTACCGCTACCCTTTACAGGATGAAATTGAAATGGTCAGCTGACATTTTAGCAATTTTTCCAACTAGAAAATAATATGTTTCAATAATAATGACGTAAGTATCCTATCTTTAGTTACATTGAAAAACCATTAGGAACTTTCTTCGGACAAATAATTCCCTAATTTATTATTCGTCGCAACGCTCAAAATATTACCGATCCAATTATTTCGGTGTTCTGATTAATTGAATTATTAAGTTATATTATAACTACTAAGGGATACTTTTTTTCGTCAGATTCTTAAGTAATAATATTTTGATTACAGAACGTTTAAACGATAACCTTATAGTTTTTATGTGATCCTAATGAATACTAACAAAAACTTTTGAATTAACCCCAAATAAGTTAAACAGGTCTGTTAAGTTATAAAAAAATATGATTTTGGTAACGAATAAAATGGCTTTAAGAGTATTGTTAGACATGGCTTTGTACAGATACAAGAAAGAAAAGTAATTATTTAATTTCTAAGTCCCACTATCTTTTCAGACAAAACTGGTAAATATATATTATATTTACCAGTTTTGCACATATATAGATTAATAAATATATATATTACACATAATTAGTAAAGTTATAAAACTGCATGAAAGTTGCAATAAATAGTTTGTGCAAAATGTAAAAAGAAGTTGATTGTATTTAAAAACGATTAATGCAATTGTGTTATAACAACATATTTCAATAACAAATCAACAAATTATGAAATCATTGTTCTGTAATACGTGAGGAGACGTGAGACGATCGATTTTTCTTAAACTAGTGTTTTATTTACTTGGGTTTTAATTTTAATACTACTTTAATATTGTTAATAAGTACCTCAATTTGAATTCTATGTTACAATGTATAATAATGATAACCCGTGAAGCAAACAAAAACCTTCAAACGTTTTTAAGGTTGCGATATGTTTTTCTTACAAAGACATTTATTTTCAAAATAAATTGCAGGTTTCCATCGTATTTTTTTTAACATTGAGAATGCTGTGATATAATAAATAATTATATTGATGACCTTTACTCTATTTAAAGGATATATTCTGTCAATTTTACACAACTGTAATGGTATCCTGCATTCAAACGAAATTTGTAGAATTTCTTTTACAAGGTTGAAAATCGAGATTATTTGTTTGCAATATTTAAGTTAAATACTTCTAAATTTTACATTTAAAGCTCTGTTTTAGTATATTGCAAAATTGTTAAAATAATAAAAAAAATACATTAAAATCTCTGTCTAATAATTTTATTCAAACTTAAAAATCTTCAATGTTGTCTATGCGAAGTTGTGAGATGTCTCAAAATCGTTAATTAAAAAGATTGTATTTGTATTTCCCAATGCCTTAATGCTATTAATAAATTATAATGATTTATAACAGGTCTAATTTTTAATTTTACTTTAAAAGATCTTTCTCCTATTTAGAGTTTAAGTTTAGATTAAGTTGTAAGGGTCTTCTAAGGCTTTAAACTTGAACCCCATGACTTTAAAAATGTACTAACCACTTTACACTATAAACTAACATACACTAATAAATGTAAAGACACATACCCGAAAGACACTAAAATTCGAAGTTCGAACGAAGTTTTCGCGGCTGTTGCGTAGCGCGTCTACGTCGGACGGACGCTCTACGGTTTTGGTGGATGTAGCAGGCGCGCGTAGCATTTTATGTGGTGGCGACTACCACTTGTGACGTCATTTGGCAACAGATCAAACCATGGAACGTGGGATGAGAGTACTGTTGCACTCATAATTCACTTGTTTATGGGGTAGTGTCTTATTGTCAAAGTACAGTGTAGTGATAAAGTTTTAGTTGTTTTAAGGACATATTAAACAAAATCTATTCAGTGGAATCTAAATAATCAAGAATTCTAAAAAGAAAGTGTTTTATATAATTAGATAACTCTTGGTATAGGATGTGAAAAAGAGAATTTATCTTGTGAAATGCTTTATTAGGTATTCTCGGGCGTGTAAACCTTTCTACCGACTTTTCTAATTTAATTTTGGGGACAAGTGCTATTTATTTTTAAGAGCCCTTAACAAATATGATGTGTAGGTATGTTATACCAATTAATTATAATACTAAAAAGTATTTTGATCTAATTTAATAAAAATAAATTCTATCGACCCTAGTATCCGTAACTAATTATCATGATTTCTTTTAATCCATCTTCTAAATTATGATACATGAAGAAATAAAATTCTATCAGTTTACTTAAAATATGGCTCATGGAAGTAAGTCATATTCAGAATGCTTGATGTTTCTATGTAGAAAAGGCAAAGAAATCTAAAAAGAAATAATTAATATGGTAAAAATTATGTTAAAATATCTACGTTGAACTATAGGGGTCCAGTAAATATTTATATTTTTTATTGTACAAAAGTTTAAACAATGACAGATCAAGTTATACTGGTCTACTAGTCATACAAAATCTTCAAAATTCGACCGACAAGTAATCTCTAGATATAGGTACATATATTATACCTTTTATTAAGGTATTGTCTAAATTTAAAAACACATGAATCCGTCATGACGACTGTTTTTTATTAAAATGTTAATTTTTTTAATATTTTTTTAATAAATCCCTTTCTGAGATTTAACATACCTTAAGGGATAAAGAAACAACTAATGTAGTTAAAAAAGCTACGAGTGAAAGTTAGATTGAAATAAATAAGTTAAAATAAAAAAGATATGCATTTAAACCCCGACTGTACATGCGAGTTTCTAAAACCTGGACTCTAGACTCAGTAATGATCGTAGGTGGTTTCTATTGCTTTTAAATAACTAACTTTTCAAAGGTCCTTAACTCCCTAAAGCGATGCTTTTTTTACTTCAACTTATGTACCGGTAACTCTCGTAATATTCTGTCTTTAAGTTCCAATGGCAACCAAAACAATTTATACAAATATTCAGTCAGTTAACACAGTCAGCACTAGAACACGGCTAGCACTAGACGCACTTATAACGCTTAAGTTACAGGTGACTATGGGCAGAGGTGGTCACTTGCCATCAGGTGCCCTGTGTGCTCGTCTACACCCCCCCTCTCCCTATGCCATAAAAAAAGCCTTGACCGGCAGACCACGCCCAGTAGGAGAACACGGCTAGTAGTTAGTTTAAATATATTGATATTTAAACTTTCTGTTTTAAAAATATATATTTTTTTATTATATTTTTTTTTTGGAGCAGATTGTATATTATATCTTGTCAAAATTTGAGCTTATTTAGTGAAGAAATTTTGAAATTTTGAAGCGTACACAAACCAAATTAACATTTTTTATTTATTTATTAAACTTTAACTTTTTTTTATGTGACATTACGGTGACATTATGGTTAATGGTTTGACTGGAGGATCGAGTTTTCGTACATTTGTCTTATTTAAATCATTTAAAAATTATTATAGGTAGGTACACACAAAACAGTAGCTTAGTATAATAAATCGAAAAATTACTTTTTAAGTTGCCTCTTAAATATTACTTTGTAACGGCAGACTATTAAGATGATAAGGCAATCGTTTTTTTAAAGTTCTGTCACCGTAATAATTGTGTACTCTTGGAACAGTATATTTGTCGTGGGTCACCGAACGAGTGTTATATTCACTAGTGACTTTCCTCCAGTCATTCTCAACTTTATTTACAATATTTACTAAGAGTTGGTACTTATGTTTTAATGTAACTGGCAGAATAAGATGTAAATAATTACTAACGGCAGAGCACATTGGTGGTCTTGGCTAGTGCTGACCATGTTCTACCACTGGTCACGGTTTATATGTAATACATGTTTGTATATATTTAATCAATTAATTTTAATTTTAATGTTATTTACTGTTAATGTTTATTTAATTATTTAAAATCTTTTATCCAAGCTGATTATAAATATAAAATTTGACTACAATCGGTTTTAATACAAAAATTCAGTTGCAGGATTTGACATATATATACAAAATTGCAAGTTAAACGAAAGCTTGGAAAATGAGTCCTAGAACGCATCCTTGAGGAACGCCGTACGTTACTAAAATAGTTGATCTTCTGACTTGAATAGGCTTCCTTACAATACATCTTCACATTTCTACATAGTCGTAACTATTATGTATGTTTTCATTAGAAAGGTAAGATAGGAATCTTCACTTTCACCGCCGCCATGACACATCGATAAACCAAACATAACGTCTTTAACAGTAAAAAACCTAGATCCAGATAGTGGATATATTATTATCAAATTGCATTACAGAACTGTTTATTATTTACTTTTGTATTATTAAAATTAAGTTAAAAATACATTAAAATTAGGCTATAAAAAAAGATAAACTAAAGAATATTGGAAATGACAGAAAGAGAAAAGAAATGGAAAATAAGAAATATATGTGCTAAAAAGTTAATATTGGATTTAATGGAGCGAGGCACATACGTAACATATATTCACATGATAATTGCTTGAGGTCAATATATAATTTTATTAATAATACTACATGACATACAGATCTAAACTTAATAGACCGAGTCTCTTCGTCAGTTGTAAACTCCGTGTTGTGTATCAAGGTACAGGAGACATTATTTAAAAACTCCTCATCATTCTTAAATGTCAAAAATAATTTAAAAGATTAGATTTAAGAGTCCCATTATATTTATTAAGAACTTTTAATTTTAAAATAACTATCATGCCCTGGCCCTGGATTGAAAATGTACCGGTAAAAGCCAAACTTTTCAGACCCCATAATTTATTCATATTTATTTTATTTTATTTATTTAACTTAATGCACTAGTTGTACAAAGGCGGACTTAATGCCCAAGGCATTCTCTGCCAGTCGACCTTTGGGTGATGTAGAAAAATGAAGCATGATGTGTGTGTGTGGTGGTGGTGGTGGTGGTGTGTGTGATGTGGTGTGTGGTGATGTAGAAAAATGAATGATTATATCATCAACAGCCTTTAATTGTCCACTGGACATAGGCCTCTGGCTGGGCTAGCTAGATAAGTTGGTACAGGGTTTGAACCCGCTTTTCCTTCTCTTTGCCGTGCTGTGGTTCTGCGTAGTTTGCTCCCTTAGTCGGCTCTTACGACACCCATGGGATTAATAGGGGTGGAGACTCTCCGTTTTCTTTATTAGAAGTGTTTAATAAAAACGAATCTATTAAAAGTGATTTATTTATTGAGACTTCCTGCAAAGATATTGCATAAGGCGGACTTAATGCCTCAGGCATTTTCGTCCAGTCTAACCTTTGGGTATTACAAAGCTGTGTGTGACAGGTGTATTTTTAAGACAGGTAAAGATGAGACTGTATTAAGGCAGGCAGGGCAATAATCATGCTTGGTGTACCGCGGCCTAACCTTGGATCTTTTGAAGTTGGATATACTAGTTTACTTAAATTGTGCAATATAGGATTGATAGTTACTCCGTAGTTCAGTGTGTTTTCAGTAGATGGCACTGGAGTATGTTTTTGTGTCTTGTGTGTTTTGTGTGTTGTTGTATGTGGAAGTCGCTACACGCTCACTATTTCTAACAATTTTTTGGCTTTTCTAACTCAGGATCGCATAAATCTATTAACAATAAAAAAAAATTCGCCTTGAGGGCCTTATTTCTACACTTGTTAATAATATTCATATACCAACTTTTAAATCTAATTCGATAAAAACGTCTTCTAATTTTAGGGGTTACTATCGATGCTGATTGATCTTCAAATATCTATTTCACCTATTCTTTGCCTCGCAGATACTTGAAATTGGCCACAGAATCAGGTGTACCAGAGTTAAAAAAATAACCTCCTTTCTGACTTGTTTTAGTTTTGAATTTATTTTTTATTGGTATGTATTAACGTACAGATTTGTCATCAAGTATTAAAAATCATTTTAGTCAACTTTAGCACTTCTCAAGTTACATTCAAATCTGATATCCTCCTGTACATTTCTTATGTTATAGCTAACTTTTTCTACCTCTACGATTCTAATTAAAGTACGAAATTCGTTTTGGTCGAAAGGCACTGAAAGCAGGTTTTGGTTTTCTTGAGTTGGATGTGAATTTCAGAGTGCAGCTTTATTAACTTTTTAGTTGAAAAATATGTTTATAAAAATAAAACATTAAATAAGATAACGACCAACCTGACTAAAGTTAAGTCAAAGTCAAGTGATCGAAAACTAACTATATACAGAGAAAATGTAAAAACCCATCATCATCATTTTGCTGCTTTTGTTCCAATTTTATTTGAGGTCAGCACACAGTATAAAATTGCAAAAAGGTTTTCTTGCTTCTTTTTATAAAGAGCTGCCTGTCTGATTCTAACGGTTCCTGGGAATATAATCTTTTAGCAGAGAAGAAGGAAGGCTAAAGAAAACCGATAGGTGGTAGGAGTTAGGGTACGTGATACCCCAAATCTCAAATGGAGAGACAGGATTGATATTGCAATATAAAGTAGCGGTCGGAATTACGTAATAATATAAAAAACAATAAAACTTACAATAAAAAAAAAACTAAAAGTTAATGAGCTCAATAAGGTTTACTGTTACATATGTCTAGACATTAGTTTTCGTGGAAGTAAACAACTATGTTTTTCTGAATCATAAGCATAATAATCTTTTTAGGGCTAAAAGGAAGGCTGGTGATCAATATTAGTTTGAATGATTAATTTTCTTCCGCTTATTTCTTAGATAACTTTAAAAGTATCTAAAAAGTACA